TTTTTATTTGCAGAAATCGATTGAGTCTTTATGTAAACATAGACATCAGAGAAGTGCAAACTCAGACATATCATGCAAGAAAATATCCGACTCGTGATGAATGAAGTTTATTTAATGTTCTTGCATTCGTGCATATCTGTCCATTTATATATTTATATCAAACTCGATGTTATATCAAACTCGGGTATCAGGAATTTTAATGGTTTAACGAGCATGAAATGTATTACTATTGGTGATAAACCGTTTCTCTGCTTTCTCGTTTTTGTTTTGAAATTATGTCTTGGTAACAAGTGCTGGTTTCGATTCCAGTTTGGATATAAGTCTCCAACCCAATAATATTCGATAGTTTTTGTCTACAATGTACAGAAATGGATGCAAAGTGAGAGCAAATGATCGGAGATGCAAATGGCGGTTCAAATATATGTAGCTGCAAATATCGTGGGTGTAGGTGTCCGATCGTGCTAATATTCAAAGTCCCCGTGGATGTATTCAATATGCTGGCGCTAAAATCTGTGGGCACAAATGTTAATGTTAAAATTCTGTCGGGTTCAAAAATACGCACGTGTTCTGTTGTCCTGGATTCAATTTGCTTCATTATTTTTTCGTACATATGTGACTAAAAACCTTCTCACCTATCAAAATTGGCACCTACCTTGTTTCAGCACCCACGTGATTAACCGATGTACATTTATACCCAAAGATTGCATCTCTTCTCGTTTGTATCCAGTCAGATTTTAATCAATGTAAATTTTCACCCATGTTTGGCACCCACAGATATTTGTACCCAGTTATATTTCTACCCACGTTCACTTAACATTTGCATCCATAAATTTTTACGCCCAAGGACTTGTGCTCTCATGGACATTTGAATCGACAATCACTTTCGCTGGAATTTTGTGTTTCATACAAAATTCCCATTATTTTTTAGTTATGGCTCACCGGCAACAATCACAAGTTTTTTCCATAACTCAGTTCAAGCAATACCTTAAAACAGTCGTAGCAATACAAAGTACGCACGAGTGCCGTAAAGTAACTTGCTCGACACAATTTTTTCTTTCGAATTTGGCGCTTTCTATTTTTTTTTGGACTCGAAGCTGACCTATGAATCGTTTTGTTATTATGTTGTTGTTGTACTTGTTGTTGGAATTTTCCTTATTGTTGTTATGAAAAATCGATTTTCTTTTTGATTACTGGACCAATTATTGCTTTTAAATTTCCAGTGTTCAATAATTGTTGTTGTCACTAGAAGGATATTACTTTCTTTTATTTCAAAAATTTATGTGGGCTCTGTGAGATTAGTTTTTTTTTGTGTGAGATAGCGTCATCAAAATTTAAGATTGCGCACCGTGTGACGGTGACACGTCGTTGCTGTCTGGTGGTCAGACAAAGTCGGGAAGACTACGGTATCGGTAGTCTATTGTAGAAGATTAGATACCCATATTGCTTTGATTTGGCCTCCTTGTCTATATATTTGAACATTGCTCTTTTGTCTAATATCTCAGTTTGATTGGTATCCTCATCATCAAAGCGCTCTTACGTCGTGTATTCATTTTGGGCAGATTTTCATACGGCCATAGCAAAAGAAACATTGGAATATAATTATAACTAAAAAAACGTGGCTACTGTAATCAAGATCGTACACACAATTTTTTTTTATCTTAGTTTACGTTGAATATATACATCTTTATAAAAAACACTCAAATGGAAACCAAATACTCGCGAGTGAAAATTGATGTGGGTGCATGCTACTGTCTGAGGGTACAAATAGATGTGAGCTTGAAGTTATACAGATGCAAATGTTCTGAGGGCAGTTGCTCGGGTTCCAAATAGCGACTGTCATAATGGCGACTTCATAATAGCAACGTAATGAAGTGAGCGACTGTCACAATGGCGACCGCCTTAAATCAGCGACTGTTATGATAGCGTTAGGGTAGCAGTCACTGTTTTAATTCGGTCGCCATTATGACAGTCGCTCACTTGATTACGTCGCTATTATGAAGTCGCCATTATGACAGTCGCTGTTTTGGCAGTCGCTATCTGGCCTGGATACCGAGGGCAGTCTACGGGTTCGAATGTAAGTGGGCGCAAATGTGCTAAGTTTAAGTGTGATGCACAACGCAATAAGACGTTTGTGACTTCATTGCTTTGGGAAATAATTAATATTCAGCATTATTATAAGGAATGGTATTTTACATTTATTTTTTATCCCTTTTTCTATTTTTTGCTCCGCACAAATAATGAGTTATCGAAAGCATGTAACCTCATTTTGTGCCTAATAGGCATGCCTACAATTATGCGAACATTATGTTTATGAAGAGTTTTGTTTTAAACCCGAGTGAACGATATCTTGAGGCAATAGCCATAGCTCACCCAAATTGTCACGCATCGAGTATGCCAGGGACATGTCAGTTCAAATCCTAGTACTTGTGCACCTATATACATGTTGACAAAAATCAAGACATATTTCATTATTCTCAGTCCTTGGCAGTTCAGATTTATTTAAGTGTATTTCATAACAAGCAGTATGAAACAAGTGTGCTGTGTTGGAGGACAAAATACATAAACAACAAAGGAATTTTCGAAAATAACCATTTTTTCTATTTTCAATAATATACCAAACAAAAAAAAGATATTTTGCTGAAATCACAATAAAAGTCCAAATTGATTAAAAACCAAATGTGGATCGGAAAGTGTCGAAGAAAGGGCGTTCCAGAAGTGTGTGTACCAATATGGAGGTAATTAATTTTGTTCGCCTACTTTACACCAAGTTGTGTAAAAGGACTAAAAACCTATGGATAGGGGGTATATTCACTTGGCTGACACGAACAGTCTTGAAATAGGAAAATAAAAAAATCGGAATCAAATTATGGCCTAACCCTGTTACACACACTACGAGGGTACCGAAGAGAGATTTAGCAAGACCTAATTTCATTATAAATTTTTGCCATACTATAAAAAGGATTGCCAAATTTGTAATGTTCAATCACCACATTTAAATCCTATACATACGCAACTGAGCTAGCTGCTCTATGGATGGGACGTACAAAAAAGTACTAAACTAAGCGTCAAACGGAAGCAATAAACTTGACGAGAGGAAATGACATCCAGTTTATTTGAAAGCAAGCTTGACTTCTGAACAAGCAAATATCAAAATTGCCACAGCAATACATATATATATATATATATAAAATGTTTAGAATGCAGTATTACATTCCGTTTTGCATCTATATTTGACCCAGATGCAAACAATTTTATAATTAATTAATATCATTTTATCATATAAATAAACTTGATACAGGTTCATTATTGGGCACCATTAACCGTGCCGCGCCACATATTGTCTTTCTCCCTTTTCAAGCATCAGAGATTGGCGAAAAGCAGTTTTTTTAGTATCGTAATCTTCAAGAAAAATATAATTAATCGACCTCTTTCAACAAAGACGTTTCTTCGTTCACATCTAGACTTTTGTCAAGTGTTGA